TTCAGCCCCACCCTGTGGGTCGTGGGGGCCAGGCCGAATCCTCGGGGGGCAGAGCCCGCACCGGGCGTGGCCGAGCGTCCACCTTGGTTCCAAGACTGTGGCTCTGAGACGAGCTGATGGGCGGGCACCCCGGCTGCTCCCTCCGCCAGGACCTTTACAAAACGGCCATCGAGTTCCTGAAGCTGGAGAAGATCGAGCTGGGCGGCGTGCGCGGCAGCATCCTGGGCAGCCTGGTCGTGCAGATCCACGAGGAGGTCTTCGAGCTGGTGAAGGTCTTCATCGACTGCAAATACGACCCCTTGGACCCCGGAGACTCGGTGGGTGGGGGCCCCGGCGGGGGCGATGGCAGAGGCCCCCAGAGCGGGAGGCACACGGAGGGGGCGTGGGGGGCGGAGGCTCGACACTTCAAGGCCTCCCGACAGCTCTGCGGTGAGGAGGTCCCAACAGTGAGCGTGCTCAGCTGAGAGGGCCCCCCGAATCCCGCCAGCGGTGCCAGTCGGGGGTATTAGGGTGAGCACCACTGGCTGTGCCTGCAGATGAAGAGGTCGACGTTGGCCTTGGCCGGTGTGGCTCAGTGGTGAGCGTCCTCCCATGCAGGGCACATGCCCAGGTTGTGGGCTCGATCCCCAGTAGAGGGCGTACAATGTTTATCTCTCACATCAATGTCTCTCCCTCTCTCTCTCTCTCCCTTTCTCTCTAAAATTACTAAAAGCAGTTTTTTTTTTAAGAAAAGAGGTGAACGTTTGCATTCGCTTTTAGAGTTTCGATAACGATTACGCTGATTTTGAGACCAAAATTCAAGACCTGGACAGGAGGCTGGCCACCATCTTCTGCCAAGCCTTTGACGACAGCAACTTCATCGAGTCCTGCGCGAAGGTACGCGGGCGGGGACCGTCTAATCCAGGGGTCCTCAAACTTTTTAAACAGGGGGCCAGTTCACTGTCCCTCAGACCGTTGGAGGGCCGGACTACAGTTTAAAAAAAAACTATGAACAAATTCCTATGCACAC